TGAAATTCTATCCTCACATTGGTTCATTCTGCTGCTCAGACTTTCGATGGAGTTTTTTGTTTGTTTGTTTGCTTGTTTTTGGTACTAGGGATGGAACTCCGGACCTTGCACTTGCACGGCCGGCACCGGCACCATTGAGCTAAATCCCTGGCCCTCAATGGAGATTTTCATCTCCTGGAAATCTATTTGCATCTGTTTTATGGATTTCATTTGTTTCCTATGTTGGGATTCCATCATGTTCTTTAGCTCCTCTCTAGATTTATTAATCATGTCTTGCACTATGAGCACAATCTCTCCTGTTATCTGAGGAATTATTTCTGATTTCATTTTTCCCAGATCCTCTTTTGTTGCCAGTTCAGGGAGTCCGGTGGTTGAGTATCAGAGTGTTGCTTCTCGTTTCCCTTTGGAGTTGCTGTAGGTGATCTGGAAGTCTGGTTCTGAGACTTGTCTGTGTGTCTTCTCATTTCGCTGGGGTGGGGGTGTGCTGCTGATGCCTGTGTGGCTCACCTCCTCTGCAGTGGGAGTGGTGCCACAGTGGCTCAGAAGCCTCCTCCTGATGTGGTTTTAAATACAATTGTTACTTTGTCCTTTCAGGAACCCAGGGGAAGGGATTTTTGTCCCTCTGTCATGGCATAGGAGCTGTGATGACGGAGTTTCTCAGAGGTACTTGAGTGCTGAGTAGCTGGACGAACCATGTCCTCAGCCTCCAAATTCAGATAGCCACCTTAGTACTTAACGTAAGAGCTCAATTGATTACTTGAACTCATTTTCAGCTAACCTAAACTTGGAGAGTTGGTCAGTAACGCGTCTGGAGTAGCCCTGACTGTTTTAGGTAAGAACTCAGCCTTGTCTTTCTTCTCTTAGAATCTCATGGATTTCTGCCTAATGTATCACTAATTACTAGTTTTCCTTGGTACCACAAGACCTGAGCAAGAGTCCATTGTATGCCTCATCTTATATTGGATATTATTTTGCTTCTGGAAATCATTTTGTTGTTGTTGCCGATTTTGCAGGTTACCCTCAAAGCTGGGATGTCTGTAGCCAGTTGGGACAGTCAGAAGCTTACCAGGACCTGGCCACTCGACAGGAGCTCATGGCTTTTGCACTGACACATTGCCCGCCTGGCAGCATCGAGCCGCTCCTGGCAGCCAGCAGCTCTCTGGAGGCCGAAGTAAGTGTGCCAGGGAAAGCAGGGTGAACCCTTGCCTGGGGAGGGCACTTTGTTGGCCATGTGGGACTCAGAGGTGTGTACTTTGTTTTTTCCATAATGCAAGAATTCTCATGTGTAGAAGAAAAATAGGCTGTCATGTGAAAAGGGATTTGAGGTTATAAAACAGAAATGACACAGTGAAAGTAATATTAGGAAATAAATTATTGAGTCCAAGGGGAAAGTTAGCATGGTCAAGAAGATATTTATAGGGGAAATGGTCAAGGTATAGAAGCACTAGGATGCTGGCTTGGAGTCCCTTGGACGTGGGCAGTGGCATGGGCCTTGGCTGGGAGATGCTGAGTGTCCTCAGATGCATAGTCTAGACCTGTGTTGGAGAGGACAGGGCCCTTGTTGAGGAACACCTGAAGACTGGAGCAGCCCGTGCAGTTTGCATTTTCACCTCGCAGGCATTTGTTGCATCATTTGTCACATTTTTCACAGTTGACTCCCATTCCTGAAACTTGCTTCCTTGCCACACTGTCTGTAAAGTCCTGAAGTAAGCCTGGCACGAAACACTGCTCACTACAGAATGACCATTTTTCCCTCAAAAGGAGAAAATACGTTTCAGTTTTCAACGTACATTGTGATGAGAGGCAGATTTAAAAACACAGCTCCTTTGTGACCTACCCTGTTCTCATTTCAGATTCTTTACCAAAGAGTGAATTCCCAAATCCACCTGGAAGGAGGAGAGAGTGTTGGTGTCTCGCCGCTGATTGGCAAGGTGCCACCTGAGGTGAGCTTCGAGGAAAGGAGGGGGTTTGGGGAGGGCTGTGTGTGCATTGGGATGCGATGGGTCCCCTGACGTCAGGCGTGAGCAGGGTCGGTGCGTGTGTGTGTGTGTGTGTGTGTGTGTGTGTGTCGCATGACATTCGTATAGAAAAGTCCACAAGACAGAAATGTGCAGCTCAACAAATTATCTATCACCAACCAATAGATCTTTTCCAGTGAGGGATGTGTTCCATCTCTGTACAGTCCAGAATGGTCCCACCGGTGACATACAGCTTTCAAGGGCTGGAAACCTGGCTAGTGTGAGGAGTAGCAGTTTTAGTTATACTTAATTTTAATTTATATTTAAATAACCAAATGGGGCTGGTGCCTACCATGTTGGATGTTGCAGCTGTGGAAAATCCGGCATTCATTGGAGGATGGACACCAGTATGCAGACTGGACTCTTTTTAGTTGTTCTCCCTCCAGATAGAAGCTGTAGCATTTCTAGCAGGCTGCAGGGGTGTGGTATACTTCCTCCTTAAATAATGTTTAACTGAATCAAAACTGATTGGCAGTTATTCGGTTTTCCTCAGTGCCCATGAAAACGCATTACCTTCTATGATGTTGGCTGTGTGGGACTGAGCAGTTCTAACAGTAGCCAGGGACCACTATTGCTTGGTGTGTGGGGGAGTTGTCTCTAAGGCTCCAGCTGAAGACCTGCTCTCTTTTGGGAAAGCTGCTCTGTTATGTTTAGGACACATAACAGCTGCATTCATCTCGGGGAATTGGGACGTACACTGACTGCATTTTGATCATTTTACTCCCTCTTCTGTCCCTTCCCTTTCCTCTCCTGGTCTCCTTCCTGTCTCCGCAGTCTACCTCCTTGTTTCCTACTCTCTCCTTATTTTGCTTGAAGATTTCCTTTCTGTGAGATCTTCTTAACCCAAGACTTGGATTCTTTGAGCCTGAGGTCCCCCACGTGTCCTGGTGCATCTCCCCTCCGAATGTCCCTGGCCTCAGCTCTTGGTCTGCTGTTCAAATGTCTGCTGTGGGGCCGGGGATTTAGCTCAGTGATTCTGCTGCCTGCCTCACAAGCACAAGGTCCCAAGTTTGATCTCTGGTACCAAAAAAACAAAACAGAAACCAAAATGTCTGCTGTGTTCCTGTTGTGTTGAACACATCCCATTCTCTGTGCAGGTTCTTTCACGCCCTTGGTGTGGCATGTAATTATAATCCAGCCTCTGCCTCTATTAACCTTGTCTTGTTCTTGGAATCTCACCCTTTTCCTCTAAAGCATTTTCTTCCTACTGTTTTCCTTGATTTCTCTAATTGTCTCCTCCTCCGTATTGCCCAAGCGTGACCACATCTCTCTGGTTCAGCATTTTATGCTGGGGTGTGATGTGTGGTAACTGGAAGTGTGTCATTAACCTCTGTTCCCTCTTCACAGAGTGCTTGTCACATAGTGAGTGCCTGGTAAATGTTTGATAAAGCTCAGTTTGAATCATTCACTTGCATAATGATCAGTCCATGGTTAAAAAAATAGGAAGTAGAGTTTTAATTTTAAAATCTGTAGAATAAAAACATAAAGCATTTCCCGTTTATCTCATGTGTGTGTCCTGTGGTGCTGTTGAGATCCTGCTGGGTTTGGGCCAAGGTGAGGGCTATGTCATTTTTCTGTTCACCGTGGAGTCACTGCGGCTCTCTGCTGAGCTCAGCACCATGAACTTATTCTGAACCCCCTTCCTTCTTTATGAAACCTATGAAAAGCCTCTTGTGGCTTTTGGGTTTCCCATTTTGCACTTCTACAATGAACTGGAAAGCCTTGGCCTGGCACCTCGGTGGCTTCTTTGGGTAGGATTGTGCTGTGCTGTGCAACTGTGTGTATGCTGTTGCATTAAAACCTCAGCAGTGAACCGAGGCAGCCCCAGCTGCCTCTGCATTCCACTTAGGATTGAAAAAGAATTCTTCCAAAATGATTTTTTCCTGGAGTTTTTTTGTCGTTAAAAGCTTTCCTGTCTTCCTTTGTCCTCCTCCAGCAAATTGTAATAGATCTAGAGCCCAGGAAGTGCTAATCCAAGCCCTCAGTGAACACATTATGGCTTTGACTCATGAAGCACATTTCAGGACGTTATAGCTACCATTATTAGATTAAAATATAGTGTTTAGCTATAAGATGGTGTGTTTTACACATTAATAGTAGATATAATAACCACATTAAATTATAACTCACAAATGAGAGTTGACTTTATGTATAATCTGTGTAATGCTCAAGACTTTCATTACTTCACTTGTGAAAATAATGATTTTTATTTATATATTCAAGCAATATAAAGTTGTAATTGTTATGCTGTACCATTTGCATTAGTACAAGTGGATACTACAAATTTAAAGATAATGCTTTTATCTCTCTGAACAAGATGCTTGCTTATAAATAGAACAAAAATGCAGACTTTGTGAATAACTACAAAATTACAGATTTTCAGTTGCTTATTAATGTTGGTTATTATGCCTTTTAGAGGGAACAGAATTCTACCACTTAGAGTATATTAACATTTTGTTTAGCTAGTATTAGTTATATTACTTAGCCAATGGTGTTTTCCCCAGATAAATCTAATTAGAGTTAGAAATGGATTATGTACAGGGTTCCCATTAAAAAATCATTTTCACTGTGGGAAAACTTGTTATGAACATTTTAAGTGGCTACAGATTTATATGATTGGACTAATTAATGTTTAAAACTCGAGCATGGTCCAAGCATAGAGCTGTTTTGAATTTTTAAGAGGACTGTTTAGGAATACTGTACTTAAAAGTGAGTGAAAGGGCAGTTGTTTCAGCACCACGGCTAGCGCCCCCGTTTCCATTTACTTGATGGACAGGTGGATTGTGGCCGCTTCTTCACTTTTATGAATATTGCTACTATGAATGCTGATATTCAGCTTTTTGTACAAAAATATGTTTTCAGTTTTCATGTAGGAACATAGGAGTAGAATTGCTATATTGTGGAGTATATTTATGTTTCATATATGAAGGAACAGCCAAACTGTTTTCCGAAGTAGCTGTGCATTTTTACATTCCCACCAGGAATGTGTTCAGGTTCTACTTCTTCCTTGTCCTCCCTCGTGTCATCACTGACTAGCTTCTTGTTTGGCTCTGTCCCTGGAGTTTCGACTGAGGCCATTCTTACACCTGTGCTATCTCCTTAGTCTTGCTATTCATATGTCAAGTAATTAATCACAGTGACCACCATTTGGCATGCTAATTGGCCATTCCTGTACCTTTTTTGGTGAAATGGCTATTCAGATATTTTGCCCTTTTGTTTTTGGTACCGGGGATCGAACTCAGGACCTTGCGTTTGTCAGGCAGACAGTGGCACCACTGAGCTACATCCCCGGCCCTGTGCCCTTTTTTTGAACTGGGTTGTTTGCCTTGTTATTAAGCTGAGGGAGACTTTTTTGGTTGTTCATCTGTTTTTTTCTTTTTTAGTAGTCTGGATAGAAGACTTATATCAGGTATGTGATTTGAAAATATTTTTCTCTCAATGTCTGACTTGAATTTTTACTTTCATAATGGTGGCTTTTGAAGTGCAGAAGTGTTTAATGTTGCTAAAATCCTATTTATTAGTATTTTTCTTTTATTGTTTATGTTTCTGATGTCCTGTATAAGAAATCTGTGCCTAACCCAGTGTTGTGAAGATTTACTCCTGTGCTTTTTACCTAGTTTTCTAGTTTCTAGTTCACACATTTATTGATAAATGAAAATAATAAAAAGATACATTTTTATGAAATAAAGTTGACTTGAGTACATATCCACATGCAAAAAGATGAATTTAAACATTACATTATACCACACACAAAAATGAACAAGAGAACCATATTTGTTTTGTTTCACTTTATGTTTCATGTTAACTTATTCTTTCTTTCTTTCTTTTTTTTCCATTAAGTTTATTGGTACATTTTAGGTATACAGTATAGCTATGTTCATCATTAGGATCTTGTACCTGTACATGATGCATCTGGGTTCTTATTTTTCCCCCTTCCCCTGCCCTCCCTTCACGCCCTCCACCCTTCCCTATTTACAAAGACTTTGTTTCCATTTTTTTCCTTTTATCAAATTTTTTCTTTTCCCTTCTTTCCTTTCCCCTACCCCTCCCACTTCCCCTACTCCTTTAGACCTTTTCTTCCTATTTCACAGTATCAGTTATACATTTTTGATCCTTATTTACACTTTTAGTTTCTCACACCAGAGAAACTATTCAGTATTTACACATGTGTGTCCTATTTATTTCACTTAAGAGGATGGCCTCAATGTGCATCCACTTAGCTATAAATGTCTCTAGTTTCTCATTCTCTATGGCTGAGTAGTACTCCATTTTATTAAAAAACCACATCTTCTTTATCCAGTCTCCAATTGATGGGCACTTGGGCTGTTTCCAAGCCTTACCTGTTACACACTGTGCCGCTTTTCTTCTCTGGTCCCCTCATCCCTTACCTGCTCCGTGTGAAGCCTTCGCGCCTCAGCACTTTGCCAAAGCAGCTTGCACCTGCCCACTGGTGACCTCTTTTACACTCGTGTTCATCTTGGGCACTTCCATTTCTTTCCTCCCTGCCTCTCGCTGTCAGCCTGTGCCCACTCCACTTCCCCCGAGCAGTGTGTTCTTTCTGCAGTCGCTCCTGTGTCACGAAGCAGCAGCTTCATCCTTGCGGTTGTTCACATCAGAAACCTTCCTGTGCTCCTTCATTCGTCCCTTTCCCTGCACCGCACGGCTGACTGTTGGCTCCGTGTCACAGGGGGCTTGGAATTGGACCGCACTCCTGTCATTGCTACTCCCACATTGGCCTCGTGATTCCGCTGCACTGGCGGTGTCGCAGAGGCGCTGCCGTTCTCCCATTTCCGCTCTTCTCTTGCTGTCGGCTCTGCTCACCCAGGCAGCCAGAGTGATTATTGCCAGATGCACCTTGCCTTAAATATTTCACCTGGAGCCAAAACTAAGCTACTGCAGTTTCCAGGAAGATACCTCCGCTGTTC